CCCCCCCCGCCCCTCCCCCTAGATACCACCGCCACCACCCCACCTCTGCCATAAACTCCTATGTCAGCTTCACTAACTTGCGTGCATGCGCCTTCTTCCTGTGTCTGCCCCACGCGTCCCCCCCTCCGGCCCGTTCCACCCCATTGAGATGCAGCCCGGCAAGCTGGAGAAGCCTGTGTACGAAGTAACGGCCGTGCCGGATAACGAAGGCCGCGTGGTGCAGCTTACCTGCCAACATTAATACCTCGCGCACGGTAGCCTTCTTCCTGTGCTCTGGCTATTCCGCTAATCTCTCTCTCAAATCCTGCACTTTCTGTTCCGGCAATGAGATCGGCCCTGCTTCGGTATCCACCAACCACCCTAACACCACATGTTCCGTCCTCCAGTTTGTCATCTTCTTTGTGGGCAGTAGTGGCTCCTCCTGCTCACCCCTCTCCCCTAATAATACATGAAGGGTGGACGCAAGCCCCTTCGTCAACTCCAGACACCGCTCCCCCTGGTCTTCCCACTGCACTTCCACGCTAATCGCATCATCCACGAAAAATCGCACAAACGCCGGATCATTCTTCCCCCCCCCTACCGCCGGCTGCACCTTGCATTGCGGTAGAATCGGCACTATCGCTTCCCCCGTTGGCGGAGCGATCTTTACGTGTGCCGCTGGCCGTACCCCGCAATGCGTTACCCGTACTGTGTCTCTCGTCGTCTGTCGGTGTACGTGTTCTATCGCCGACGCCACCAACCCCCACCACCCAGGACTGCCCCGCCATCCGAACTGCAACCGAAGGTCTACTACCAGGAATTCCCCTACCACATATCCGAAAGCCGGCGCCCCTGCGGGGTTGGCGAAACGCGCTTTTCACGTCCATTTTTTGCAACAAAATCGTCCTCCTTGGACACCTAGCTCTCAGCCCCAGGAACCGTTCTAACACCTCCTTCATTACAGTCGCCATCCCGCACGCCGGAATTTCTTCAAAAAAAGTGGTGGCATTCACCGGCCGCCCTTCTCCCCCCGTTGCTTCCGCTGCTGGTATAGTCAGATCGTGCATCACCCGAAGTTTCTCTTTCTCATCCACCACCCCGACCGGGGACACGCGCAAACCTGGAATTTTTCTGCAACTCCTCTCCTGAGCAGCATCGCCCTGCCTGCTTCTACGTCCTCCACCACCTTCTGCCAAATCGCTCCGTGCCATTTTTGCGCGCTAGCATGATTTCCGTACGCTAACTCATGCTTCAGGTCTCCCCCCGGTCCTACTGCGATGGGTACCCCCACTACTGCAAGTTTTCCAGCACGTCTACGTGTTCAAAGCTCCCAAAACTTCTGGCAATCTTTTTCGCGTCCATATGAGGCGCCAACAAACGTCCGCCCAGGCTCTGCACGACACGTCCGATACCACCTCTGCTAGCACCTATCATCTCTTCCTTCGGGGGGG